AGAAAAATATCTTTATAAAATAAATAATTACAGAATGGTGAAACTTTAGTCTAAGTTGTAAGATTTTTTTGTAAAAAGGCCCACAGATTATTACATTTTCAACTGTGAAATACTGTTATTTATTCATTGAATAAAAGTGATATCCTGTCACAGTGTGAAAGGATATCAAAATAATATCCTGTCACAGTGTGACAAATATCAGAAGTGCAGTAAAACTCTTGATTTTCCTTCCCATAACGAAGAGTATAAAGAGAAAATATTTCTTGGACTTTTATGATATAGAGAGGGAGTAAATAAACCATTCTGAAAGAGAATAAGGCTGCCAAGGTTCCACAAAATATGTTGTTGAAATCCAAGTTTATAATGTTTTCAATATCGTATCAGATGACGTCTCAACCGCTCAACTATGACATCATGTAGCCAATGACTGTATAAGAAAAAGGGAAAATGTCATTGAAAGAAAATGTAATAAACAGAAAATTTAATGTTTTGTAGTTGAATATGGATTTTATTTCACTCGTGAGACAGGATTTTTTCACTCGTGCTTCGCACTCTTGAAAATATCAAAAAATCCTCTTCCACTTTTGAAAAAAATTCCATATTCAACTACGAAACATTGAATTTTCTCTATATATTTCTCACCATGAGCAATTGTTTAATTATACAGTGTATACTTGATTACGATGGCTCCCTGGAGTCAAGGTTAGTTTCAAAATGACAAATTTGGAATGAATGAAATTTTTCCAGGATACAATAGTTGCTTGATAGTATTGCTGTGACATCACAGTGATATTGTGGAATGATTTTAAGGGTTTTCCACACATCCCCAGCTTATGTTCTCATATTACTGTTTATTTATTGCTCATGAACTTTTAACAAGCATATATCTGATAGTCTTAAAACTGGTCTGGAATTGGAATATAATTATTATACCCCACTCCTAGGGAGAGGAGGCGGGGTGTCTAGCTGCCTGTCTGTTCCCTTTAAATAGAACGTTCTATTGTCCTTAAATTGATATTGTCCTACGGACCCAGTTTAATGATAGAATTCGTTCCATGTATTTGTAATGTAGCAAAATTGTAATGTTCCAAATGTAAACATGGCTGATAATTTTGAAGCGAGAGAAAAACCTTGAGAAAATTAATTAGATTTTGTCTATACATGGATTATTTTTAGGGATAAAAGGCATATGCAATTTCAAAAAGGTTTGTAGCTCACCTCGATGAAGTCGAGATGAGCTTAAGCTATACCCCCAGCGTTGGCTTCGGCGTTAGCATCGGCGTCCAAGGTTAAAGTTTAAGGAGCAAGTCCATTCCCAAGTAACTATAAGCCCTACCTGAACCAAACTTGCATGGATGATGCATGTAGGGATGTACACTACCAGACTTGCTTTGGAAGCTAGATCTGACCTACATTTTCAAGATGAGTGACCAGGTTAAAGTTTTTTGAGCAGGTCCATTCCCAAGTAACTATAAGCCCTACCTGGACAAAACTTGCATGGATGATGCATCTAGGGATGGACACTACCAGACTTGCTTCAGATGCAGGATCTGACTTACATTTTCTAAATAAGTGACCAGGTTAAAGTTTTTGGAGCAGGTCCATTCCCAAAATGAGTGACCAGGTTAAAGTTTTTGGAGCAAGTCCATTCCCAAGTAATTATAAGCCCTATCCGGATCAAACTTGCATGGATGATGCATCTAGGGATGGACACTTCTAGACTTGATTCGGATGCTGGATCTGACCTACATTTTCAAGATGAGTGACCTTGTTAAAGTTTGTGGAGCAGCTCCATTCCCAAGGAACTAAAAGCCCTACCCGGACCAAACTTGTACGGATGATACATTTTGGGATGGACACTACCAGACTTGCTTCGGATGCTGGATCTGACCTACATTTTCCAGATGAGTGACCAGGTTAAAATTTTTGGAGCAGGTCCATTCCCAAGGAACTATTAGCCCTACCCAGACCAAACTTGCATGGATGATGCATCTAGGGATGGACACTACAAGACTTGCTTCGGATGCTGGGTCTGACCTACATTTTCACTCCCAAGGAACTATTATCCGTACCTGAACAAAACTTGCATGGATGATGCGACTAGGGATGGACACTACCAGACTTGTTTCGGATGCTGGATCTGACCTTTATTTTCCATAAAAGAGACCAGGTTAAAGTTTTGGGAATAGATTAATCCCAATGAACTTGAAGTCCTTGATATCTGCAGTTTTAACAAATTTATGAATATTTGTTTACACTATACATGTTTTTTTCACGCTACATGCATAGAAATGTGTTTATGCCATGTAAGGGATTAAAACAACTTGCAAGAAAATTGTTTTTGGGATAAATACTAGATATAAAGAAAATATTATGTGATATTTGCATTATTTACACCGATAACATTCGTCGAGTTGAGCTTTGTAATCTTTGATTACCTTATATGTTGATTAATTTGGTAGTTATTTGCAATGCAAATCATTTCATATTGTTCAAAATCATTTCGTGGCGGATCCGCTATGATTTGCTACAGTGCAAGTATCTGGGACATATTCTAACTGTGGTGAGGGTTAGAGGGCTTGTACCGAGACACAGTTAGATTATTCTAACTTTTGTCTATTATGCTACAAACACTCAAAGATCTGCTATTTTATTGAGAGAAAAAATGGACACATATTTTGGGTTCACACCATTATTTAATTAAACCATGTGTTCATTGTTTATGATTAGGATGTCACTCTCAATTTACTGCATATTTTTCCCATGACAGAAACCTTCATTTTAAATCATTTATAAGTCTACTTTTATTAAATCAGTCATATTTTATAATGTTTTAGTTATAACTTATATTTAAAAAATAAAGAAAACGGCACAATTATACATCTCACTGCAAATATTTGACTTTCTTCACTTTATTGTTTCCATTTTGAGCAACAAACAGATTGTCATTTGTATCTATACACAGTCCACAGGGTTCACTCAGTCCACAGTCTATGTAACGAAGGAACTGTCCATCCTGGTCTATGATGTGGACACAGTCATTGTTATAATCAGCTGTAAGGATGTGACTCTGACTGTCTGTGGTAATTCCTAGTGGATAGAATGGTTTGTTATTCATATTAGGAGTATGTCCAGTGTACCTGAACCTCAGTTTCCCGGCCTGATTGACCACCACTACTGCTCTAGCTCCCCAGTCAGACACACAGATATCAAGGTTCCTATTCTCTGTTGTGTAACTACCAGATTGATAAAGATGATTACCTTTATCATCTAACTGAATGATTTGTTTCTCTGTGGAGCCGAAATAACGGACAACTTTTGTTTGTTTTTTATCATCACTGTACATGACAACCAGGAGGTCACCAGAGGAGGTACTACAGACACCTTTAGGTTTCCAGTTCTGTAGTCTGATCACCTCCTCTATCTTCTTCTTCACAATGTTCACAGTTCTATCATCATAATCAGTATAAACTAGATCTCCACTTTTTGTCACTACTATGTCCTTTGGTCTGTTCCCTGACTTGGTTTTGATTGACTTGAGGAGTGATCCCTGATTGATGCTGTAGAGTTTCATGGTGCTCTCATATCCACTTGTCCAGATTTCTTCATCACTCAGACAGGCCACATTGTAAAGGCCTCCATACCCAGTGTCTATGGTGGTGACAGTCTCTGGTTCATCAAGCAGCTGTTTGACTAGAGGAGAGGATCCAGCTTCTGGTGATTTCTGTGTTGTCTTCATGCTGTAGCCATGTTTATCTGAAGTTAAAGAACTTGATGATAAGGCTCCAAACAGTTTGAAAAGTTCTTCTTTGTGTATTTTTTTTGGCATGAATTTGGGTAAAGATGGCATTATTTGGTGTGGAAGATTTCTATATATATGTACACTGGATGTGACACTAAACAGTTTTGACATGTCATTGGTGTCCGCAGCCATGTCAATTGTATCGATTTCTCCCTTGATGTCAGACATTGTCTTGTTTATTTCATTCAGATGTTTCTGTAAAGTTTGTAACTGTGTGTTTTTCATCTCATAAACTTCAGCTTTAAGTTTCTGGACAAATTTGTCAATTTCTCTGTGCCAGTCCTCTCCATGTTTTGTTATGGCTGTTGAGAGGTCTCCATATTCCTTTTCTAACTGACTCATTCTGTTTTGTACATCAGAGGCAATGGCCTGGTAGGTTGGATAAATTGTGTCATCTAATTCATTTCTTTCTTTTGTGATACTTTCTTTCTTTTCATCCATAACTCGCAAGATTTTAGATAATTCATGACCTAAATGTTGATTAGATTCAATGCAGTTGATACAGACAGGAATGTCACATTGTTTACAGAACATTTTACATCGTTCCCTGCTATGAAATGTACATCTAGGGTAGAGGGGAGTGGATTTTCTGGACTGAAATTTGACGACTTTGTGGTCCTTGGATTCATCTGTTGAGATGTGTTCTCCCACACAGGCCTTACACAGGTTGACAAGACATGTATCACAGTGCATCTGTACCACAGCGGTCTCACACAGGTCACATCGCATCACGTCCTGGGCACTGGTACGGGGGTCCATCATTAGATCTTGTTTCTAAAGCATAAAAATTTAACATTAATAATAAATCCATGTAATGAAAGTGTTTGAAACTCACTGTAAAATTAGCTAGACATGCAGGGTTGATTGCTAGTGAAAGTTGTCATCCCTGCCAAAAATGTACTAGCCTGTAAAAAATGTCTTTTATAAGTTCGTTATAGCAGTATTGTGAATGGGGCCAACTCACTATATATTCTATCCCGGACCTATAGGCTGATGAATTCTACTTAATTGTTTGCTTGTTACACTTAGCAATGACTAATATTAGTTGATTTGAGAGAGTTTTATCAAATATCCTCATTTTGATACATGGAAAAATTTTACTTTTCCAGTGGGGCATCAATACGTGCAGATCTGTTTGGCAGTGACAAAATTTGTCTGTCTCGAGCAGTCAGATGCAAAGTTATTTTAAACATCGGTAATGGGTTTGTGGGCAACTTGCATTAGGCAGATATAGATGGACAAATGTTGTAATTAGCACATCAGACCAAGAGCATTGTTTTTTTTAAAGGAAGAGCAAAAAAAATTGACAAGCAAACAAAAAATATAAAATGCCCATACTCATTGTCTTTTCTTTTGGGGTGGAGGGGGGATGATCTTTCACTAAGTTTTATGTAAATCTTATTTTATTTAGAATTGGCCAGAGTTTGACTTTGCAGCAACAAAAAGTGGGGAAACCAATCAACCTTTTTATGAAAAATTCTATATTAAAACTTTCAGGAGAGTTGGGAGGATTGAGCCCATGTCACATACTACAAGCCCGCACATGTTCATGAACAAGTCATTGGATTACACTATTTAAACAAGGTTCATTGAATCTGAAGTTTTTAAAGAAATTTTTCTTTCAATAGTTAAAGCCTATGGAAGTTCATTTAAGATTTTCGATGATTTTGTGAACATTTCATAATCACAGAAAAACTTGCTGTATTTCCTACCTGACTTCAGCAATGGCGGCCGTCCTTGATCCAAGTGCTGTGTCTATACACTCTAATCATGTGGCACACCTGTGTTATCTACCTGTCTGGTATTTATACTTCCTGGTCTAGAAGGAGATTTAAATACCTTATTACAAGCAAAATGCTGTTTAAAATGCAAGATTTATTTCATGAAATATTTGTTTACCAATTCCTGTGAATTGAATGGATTCAGCATAACTGTCCGCCACCTTTACAAAAGGTAGCTAGGTACACTTTCTCCATAACCAATATAATCAGACTAACTACAGGTACTGTGAGCAATGAGCTCACTAAATGATACTCCCCGCCTCCCATATGAATATAATGGCAGCATCCATGATTTGCTATGGGAAACCCAAAATATATTTCGGATCAAAAATTAAAATAGGAGGTGCAAAATGGCAAGATGTAATAAAGATTCTGTAATCAAATTTCATTCTGTGGTTTGAGAAGAGTTGCAGATAAGAGATGGGTACCCCAAACCGTAACAGATGGATGGATGAACGGACAGAAAGACATACCCATTACTATATACCCTCCCGCTTTTCAAGCGGAGGAATAACTAACTTGCCACATAGCGTGGTGAAGAAATAGTAAAATACTTGTAGATATCGTGAAATTGGATTATAACTTCAGTTATTTTAAGGAGGAATGCCACACCAACTTTTTATTTTATAGATCTCTGAGTCAACCTTTTTAGACAATGGTTTCAGCATTGAAAGGCCATTAGCTCTTAATTATTTTATATGAATTTTTTGTATTTTTTTCAAAGAAAACGAAAAAAATCAATTACATCTAAATTAGATGCTATCTTGTAAAATTTTTGCTGTAAATGAATGCATCACATGAATACGTAATGAAATATGTAAAGTCTGGTTAGACTTTTTATTTTTTTTTATAAAAAATTATTTATGAAAATAAAGCACATAATTTGTAAATATTTTTTAAACTTGTGGTTAAAATCTTCTTAAAACAAGCCTCAACTAGGGAGAACATATTCATTTATCGCATTTATAAAAGAAAATGAAACGAAATAGCCAAATTTTTGAGAAATTAATTTTTTTTAATTTTGGCCAATCCCGATCAAAATTAAACCGATCCCGACCATAATTGTACAATTATTGCAAATAAATGACATTTTCCTATGAACACTAGTCTGATTAGGACCTGAAAATAAAATAGATTTCTTCATTGTAAATACATGAAGAGGCAATAAATTAGTATTTTATTCATTTTGTGTTAATTTTGATTGGGATCAGTTTAATTTTGATCAGGTTAGGTCCAAATATTAAAAAAATTAATTTCTCTAAAATTTCTCAATTTCGTTTCAATTTCTTTTAAAAATATGATTGACAAACATGTTGTCCTTAGTTGTGACTAGTTTTATGGTGTTTTTAACCATAGTTTTAAAAAATATTCAAAATTATGTGTCTTATTTTCATAAATAGTTTTTTATTAAAAAAAAATTAAAAAGTCTAACCAGACTTTCTTTACATATTTTATTAGGTATTCATGTGATGCAATCATTTAAAGCAAAAATTTAACAAGAAAGCATTGTAATTAGATGTAAATAATTTTTTCTTTTTCTTTGAAAAAACACAAAAAATTCATATAAAATAATTAAGAGCTAATATCAGCCTTTCAATGCTGAAACCATTGTTTAAAAAGGATGACTCAAAGATCTATAAAATAAAAAATTGGTGTGGCATTCCACCTTAAGCCAAAAATAATACAACTTGTGTAAGAAGGAAATGTAAGATAGATTTAAGTTTGCATTCAGTGAGATACTATAGGTATGTCACTCGTGACCTTTTCAGAAAAGTTCAGACAGAACATTTTGTTTATTAAATGAAGGATATGGAAATAACGAACAGTATTCAATCTCAACGTCCATTAAACAATATACAAAATAAGAGCAGAGCAAACACGGACCTCCGAAACATCAGAGGTGGGATCAGGTGCAATGGAGGAGTGAGCATCCCCTGCCGACCGGTCACACCCGCCGTGTGTTCGTTGTCATAATCAGGAAATAACGGAAAAAATCCGTCGTCAATTCAGTGTATAAATAATGGACTTACAATTGGTATGAAAAACGTCAGTCAGCATTTCATTCAATGATAAATTGTATTTGCTGACAAGGTCATTGTATCGACCATAGAATTTACGAAATGATGACTTTAAACGAGACTGTTGATATTCTTGTTTCATTAACTTGCTTGTCAATAATTTACCTCGTTTAAGAAATTGTTCGTACGTAGAGCATGCTCTTGCGTATCGAATCAACTGAGATTTATATACTCCGTATGCAGGTGATGAAGGTATATTGCTGCATAAGTAAGGGAAGTTGACGATAGAAAAGTTAAAGTCATCACGTTTATCATATAGCTTGGTTGTTAGATTACCATTAGTGTCTTTTTCAAGTAAAATATCCAAGTATGAAGCAGAAGTGTCGGACTCTGTGGTATCTTTTATCTCAAGCTCACCAGGATATATCGTGTCGACGTAGGAATGGAAATTATCATTATTAATTGACAATACGTCGTCGATATATCTAAATGTCGAGTTGAAGGCCACAGCAAGTGTTTTCTTCTTTTCACGCATAAGATTTTGCATAAATTCTGCTTCATATGAATATAAAAATAAGTCTGCTAATAACGGAGCGCAATTTGTACCCATGGGAATTCCAATAGATTGTTGGAATACCTGGTCTCCAAAAACCACATAGATATTGTCAATCAGAAACTCAAGCATGTTCTTGATGTCAACTTCAGAGTACTTATATGTGCAATCAGAATCTGTTTTTTTATCAAAATAATTTTTCAAATGACCAATGACGAGGTAAGTAAATTTACGAGTTCCATTTTTGTTGAAGAAGCAGCTGTCAATGATATCAAAAAGCCTGGATTTTAATTTGTCATGGGAAATTGTTGTGTATAAAGTTGAAAAGTCGTAAGTTTTTAAGCTGTTGATTTTTGTAAAGTCTTGTGATTTCAAATTGTCCAAAAGTTCTTTAGAACTTTTAAGTATCCACATCTGATTTACACCACTTCTTGAATATATAGTTGTTCAGTACTATTGAAGTTTTTCTTTCACTACTGTCAATATTTTAGTGAGAAGTAACGAAAGAGGCTTGGTTGAACATTTACTGGAACCTGCAATGTATCTTTGTTTGTAAGGATTCTTATGAAGTTTCGGAATCCAATATATATAAGGGAGTTCAAATTCATTTTGGCTCTGTGGAATATTAAAAGTATTCAAAACTGACAGGTGATTTTGAAGAATTTCTTCCTTATAAAGAGAAGTATGAGTATAAGTAGGATTACCACTTGTAGAATTACATCCAAGTTTTTCTAGAATGCAATTTATATAATGAGCCTTACAAACGAAGACAATGTTGTTACCTGCTTTGTCGGCAGGAACCAGTACGTACTGATCGTGTAATCTATCTAATTCTTTTTTCACTTCTGGTTTATTGAACACAGAAGGATAGATGGTTTTCATTTTGCCCCTCAATCTTTTAATACGTGACTTTAACATGGATCTGATACATTTAATCCATTCTGACAAGGTGTCAATGTCTTCTTTTTCATATCTGGCCCATCGTCTGGCGTAATTTTCAACAGAATCCATAATATTTATGAAATTCCGATGCCAGTTGAAGGATCGGGGTTCCCTATATTTAGGACCTTTTAAAATAAGTGATCTAAGGTCCTCATTACGAACTATTTTTACGTCACCTGTAATAACGTGTCCAGCAGGACTATAGTTATAGGGCGAAGAAGAACATGAACACGAAGGAGGATTATTTTTCAGATAGTCTGTATCCAGGCCATGTAAAGTGTTTTTGTAATTGAAAAGTTTGGAAGCAATGGTCGATGTATATTTGTATGAAATACAAGGTGTAGTCTTTAACTTGAAATATGGTGGAATACAAGACTGGACCCTTTTGTGACTAAGAATATTACTTATATTAACCGCGTCAATTCCTTAATTGGCATATTGAAGTTTAAGGAAAAGACGGATTGTTTTAGCTGCATTTTCTTCCGTGAAACGTGCGGGTTTAAAAAGCCTATGATATGCAATATCCATAATCACAGAATCGAGCCTATCTTCAGGTGACGATGAATCTAAAATTGGATGTTCCTTGGTCTTTTCAAGAAGACTATATACCGTTTGATTTTGTTTTTATAATTTATTGCAGTCTGATAATATATATTCAGTTTTATAATTATTATTGTTGGACGGCTACAGGTAAGTTTTTAGACTGCAAGAATAAAGGCATGATGTCACAGCGATGTTTTAAATTCACATTCTGTACTACTAAAAACTAGAAGCATCCAATATCTGTGATGCAAATTACATGTAAAGAACACATTCCATTAAAAGTATTTTGACTTCTCAGTTCTAATGCTGTTAATTTCATATTAATTACAATTATCATCACAAGCAATTTAAATCTGATTATTGTATTTCAGTGACAGTTAAGGAGAAGGACATTGTCTGGGTCAAGTGGAAAGGATGTCCTGTGTGGCCAGCTGTTGTAAGTACAATAATATAAATCAACACAACACTAGATCTGTCTTCATATTTTAATATTTCTATTGTTTCTCAACTCTGACTGTTACACACAAATATTTCACTGGGCAAAAAGGAGGGCATTTTAACTCACCTAAGCTGAAGGTTCAAGTGAGCTTTTCTGATCAAAATTTTTCCGTCGTCTTTGGTGTCGTTGTTGTCTTCATAAACTTTTCATATTTTCATCTTGCCCCGTGGGGATCCGGGTTAGAATAGGTCCTCAGTTGTAAAAGGCAACTAAATGGGGCGGTCCTTCGGATGAGACTGTATAAACCGAGGCCCCGTGTCACAGCAGGTGACAAAGATCCCTTCCTGCTCAAAGGCCGTAAGTGCCGAGCATAGGCCTAAATTTGCAGCCCTTCGACGGCAATGGTGATGTCTCCATATCAGTGAAATATTCTGGAGAGGGACGTTAAACAGTAAACAATCAATCAATCAATCAATCATATTTTCATCTTCTTCTCAAGAACCACTGGACCAGTTTCAACTGAACTTGCTACAAAGTACACAGCCAATTGTGCCTAACGTTAATTTAGTGTTAATCTCAATTAACATTAAATTAACGTTAGCTTGATGTTAGTTTAATGTTACTTTCGTGTTAAGTTAATGTTAAAAATATTTACATTAATTTAACGTTAATTTTTAACTTTAATTTAACGTTAATTTTTAACATTAATTTAACTTAACATTAATTTCAAGTTAATTTTTAACATTAAATTAACATTAAAATTTCAATTTCATTAATTCATTAATTTAACGTTAATTAGTTAATGTTAATTTCATGTTAATGTGAATTTAACGTTTATTCTCTAATGTTAATTTCATGTTAATAAGAATAACATGAGATTAATGTTATTTCTCACATTTTAGACCAAACTGTAAACAATAGTTGCCAATTATTTTAGTGTTTAATTAATTTTTAAGAAGTTCATGTGTGGATATTCAAAACCGCCGGGGGTTGGGAGTTGGGGGGGGGGGGTAGGTACTTGTGTCGGAAATAATTTTTTAACCCAATATCTAAAAATAAAAATTGTGTTAGGAGTATACCATAGGTTAAAGAATTATTTCCTACACAATTTATTTCCGACACAAGTGCCTTTGTGTGTGTGTAAGGATGTGTAAGGGTGTGGGTGTGGGAAGGGGGGGGGGGGTTGCTCCAACTGTTAGCACCTCTTCACCTCGTCCAATTTTTTTTTTCATACATTCTTTAAAAAGTAATTTATCTAGACTGAATTTATATATATGAATGTCAATATTTGGATTTGGATTTTTTACCGGCTAAAATTTGTCCCTAGCTTTTCTCAGGATCGGTTTTGTTTTTTATCGGACGAAACTGTACGTCATGTTTGACGTCATCAGCTGTAACAGAAATTAAAAAAACACAGAGGAAAAAGGATCTCTATTGAAAGTAAGTGTTTTGTTACTTTTGTTGTCTTTGTAACATTACGTTTTTGAGAGTTTCATATTTTCAGAGGCCCCTAAATGTTTGAACTTGGGGAATCGGAAAAAAATCAGAATCGATTATCGGTAATAATCGGCTGGGCATAATCGATTAATAATCGAAATTTTGAACTCTAATGAAATTAATATAGAAAAGTTATAATTTAATCAGATTTCTGTCAGACTTTTACAAAAAAATCATTTACTTAAATAAAATATTCAAAAATATTAATTGAAATTTCTATTTTAAAATGTGGAAAATAATATTTTGTTTACTTTGAACAATATAGGACTATTGAAACAGAATGGGAATTTATTTTTTTTTTTATAAAGTACATGCAATGGGTATTTTACTGATACAAGTCTTACCTTTTATTTAATACATGTATTTATTTCTCAAAATTAGTTTTAATTATTAAAATTGCAAGTTTTAAAAGTAGTTATCCAGATGTAAAACATATTTCTGATTATGATTACGTTTAAAGATTGACTAGGCTAATTATGTTTTCCTTTGTATAGTTAAACCTTGCAATATTACTGTCTCCTGGTATTGGTCCCACCCCAAATTTAATCATGGCGGTAAAAGTATCAACAAGACACATGGGACTTGTTTTAGTATCAGCGAATAAAATTGTCATACTTTATTTCTATTACCAAATCCAAGTGCAAAGAGCATAAAAGTAGTGATGAAAGTTGAAAACATGGAAGGATTCCGTGTCTTGTTGATACTTTTACCGCCATGATTAAATTTGGGGTGGGACCAATACCAGGAGACAGTAATATTGCAAGGTTTAACTATACAAAGGAAAACATAATTAGCCTAGTCAATCTTTAAACGTAATCATAATCAGAAATATGTTTTACATCTGGATAACTACTTTTAAAACTTGCAATTTTAATAATTAAAACTAATTTTGAGAAATAAATACATGTATTAAATGAAAGGTAAGACTTGTATCAGTAAAATACCCATTGCATGTACTTTATAAAAAAAATAAATAAATTCCCATTCTGTTTCAATAGTCCTATATTGTTCAAAGTAAACAAAATATTATTTTCCACATTTTAAAATAGAAATTTCAATTAATATTTTTGAATATTTTATTTAAGTAAATGATTTTTTTGTAAAAGTCTGACAGAAATCTGAATAAATTATAACTTTTCTATATTAATTTCATAAGAGTTCAAAATTTCGATTATTAATCGATTATGCCCAGCCGATTATTACCGATAATCGATTCTGATTTTTTTCCGATTCCCCAAGTTCAAACATTTAGGGGCCTCTGAAAATATGAAACTCTCAAAAACGTAATGTTACAAAGACAACAAAAGTAACAAAACACTTACTTTCAATAGAGATCCTTTTTCCTCTGTATTTTTTTAATTTCTGTTACAGCTGATGACGTCAAACATGACGTACAGTTTCGTCCGATAAAAAACAAAACCAATCCTGAGAAAAGCTAGGGACAAATTTTAGCCGGTAAAAAATCCAAATCCAAATATTGACATTCATATATATAAATTCAGTCTAGATAAATTACTTTTTAAAGAATGTATGAAAAAAAAAATTGGACGAGGTGAAGAGGTGCTAACAGTTGGAGCAACCCCCCCCCCCCCTCCCACACCCACACCCTTACACATCCTTACATACACACAAAGGCACTTGTGTCGGAAATAAATTGTGTAGGAAATAATTCTTTAACCTATGGTATACTCCTAACACAATTTTTATTTTTAGATATTGGGTTAAAAAATTATTTCCGACACAAGTACCTACCCCCCCCCCCCAACTCCCAACCCCCGGCGGTTTTGAATATCCACACATGAACTTCTTAAAAATTAATTAAACACTAAAATAATTGGCAACTATTGTTTACAGTGTGGTCTAAAATGTGAGAAATAACATTAATCTCATGTTATTCTTATTAACATGAAATTAACATTAGAGAATAAACGTTAAATTCACATTAACATGAAATTAACATTAACTAATTAACGTTAAATTATTAATGAATTAATGAACTAATGAAATTGAAATTTTAATGTTAATTTAATGTTAAAAATTAACTTGAAATTAATGTTAAAAATTAACGTTAAATTAATGTTAAGTTAAATTAATGTTAAAAATTAACGTTAAATTAATGTAAATATTTTTAACATTAACTTAACACGAAAGTAACATTAAACTAACATCAAGCTAACGTTAATTTAATGTTAATTGAGATTAACACTAAATTAACGTTAGGCACAATTGGCTGTGTAACCTCCAAGGGTAAGGAAGGGTCTCAATGGTGGATCAAAGTTTTACATAGGAAATAAAGGGAAAAATCTCAATAACAGAAAAGCTATGTTAAGTCATATTGTCTTGTAAGCATCATCATGTATTGAAGACTTAAATTTGTTCAAATTATTAGTACCCTTTGGGGTAGGGAGGGAAATGATGGGGAGTCAAATTCAAATTATTACAAAGTAATATACAAACAAAATGTTTAAAAAATCTATAAAAATCTTTTTATCAAGAACTTTTTCAAGCAGTTATATGGAGAATTGATGTGGGGGCATTCCCAAGTAGTATTAGAATTCAAGCCCCCCCCCCCCCCCCCCCCTTTTAGAAAACTTTTCAAATCTGATCTAATCATTTGTGCGTCTTTCCTAGATAATGTGCTCAGATGAGCAATGTGGCCCCTGGGCCTCTTGTTACAATTGGGAACGAGCCCTAAATTAGGCCCATGGGGTAGTGGAAAACTCCTGTATACTGAAATTTATTTGCCGCACAATTAGCTTCAGAACTGTAGCTCTCTGCTTGAGAAAATTTGGACAGATAAAGCAGAGAGCTACATATCCAAGCATTGTAAAAACCTTCGGTTTATGCCGACAATTTTTGTAGCTACTTTAGGTATTTATTTTGTGTAGTTTACATACCTTCCCCAGCTTTGAAAATAATCTTAAATGGTATTTAAAAATTAATCATACTTTCAACTGCAGTTCCTGATCATTTACGTTCCTCCGATTCTTACAAATGGCTGTTTATGGTTTACGGATATCGAAATGGAACTCTTTTAAACCAACAATACAAAACTATATACAGGAATGTTTCGGACCCATAAAATGTAAACAAAGTATCAAATATTAGAGAATAGTATACCATTCTAAAGGCCAGTGAAAGTATAAACTACATGAAAAAAATACCCAAAGTAGCGACAAGAAATCGTCAGCGTAAATCGAAGGTTTTTACGACGATTGGATCTGTAGCTCTCTGCTTTATCTGTCCGAATTTTCTCATATAGAGAGCTACAGTTCTGCAGCTACCGCACAATAAACTCTCGTTCCTTGAGAATTTTTTTTTATTTGATGTAAGTAAATAAATTGATAGATTAACTTTATTTTGAATTATAAATTGACAATATAAGACATCTGTTAACAGGTCAGAAGACTGTGTAAGAAGAAGAAGAGAATTGTTAAGGTTTCCCTCACCCTCATTGAGCCTCACAGCTCTATCCCTAAAAGGTAACTTCATGACTGAAGAGTTCTCACTAAGGGAGATAGGTAATTCATTGATAATTAGTTTCTTAATATTTTCATAGTTTGCATGATTCAGAATAATATGCTTCAATATGCAGGTTGACCATGAATTACAATCCAAGAACAGTTATTCCTTATAACACCCAGGATTCAGATCTCTTCATGGTTTGTACATTATGCTTTTCTCAAGAACTGCATGTACTCTATGTTGTTGAAAAATATAAATAAATTAATGCATTGCAGTGCTTTTATAACTGATTATCTTTTAAGATTTTTAAAAGTAATTATTTTTAAATACACGGTGCTCTTTTAGTGAATTATACATGTACTTGATTTCCAGAAAGTGTCAAAATGATACTGATATACATTTCGTATAATTTTTTTTGTTTTAAACACAGGAAAAGGGAAGCAGTTTAGAGGGTGAGGGTCGGGAAAGGTTCACTAAGGCTGTAGATACAGTTCACAACTACATGACCAAGAAGATATTGGGAACTTTGAGGAAAGAGGACACAGAGTTCATGGAGAGTCTTCAAGGTAGTCATTCAGTCTATTCCACATTTTAGATAATGAAGGATTCCATTGATCCTAGAAAGCACATATGTTGTGTATACCGGTGTCATATAGTGAGACTTCCGCCATAGTGAGACTTCCCCCCGGAAGTCTGGCTATATAGTGAGTCTTCCCCCTGGGGGGAAATATGGCTATATAGTGAGACTTCCCCCCATAATGACCATAGTGAGTCTTCCCACTTCGGTTTTCGGTTTGGATTTTATATACATTGACATAGTTAAGAGTCAAAATCAGCAAGCATCGAGCATTGAATGGAAAGTCAAAATTTTATTTTTTCAAAAGCTTTTGGTATATGAAAGATTTTGTCTTACCTAATGCTAAAACACAATTAAATTTTTTTTCGATCGTATGAAGGGACTGGTAACCAAGGAAATTCATTTCCTTAGCAACGGGTTCATAAATCCTTATGAAAATCAATGATTTTTAGACAATTTTCTACGAATATGTTTTCTGAACGTGATAAGATAAGGTATTTTGGTTACTTTATTTGTTAAAAGATGGAATTACTTTATTCTCCAAAAATAGGAAAAACAAAATTTCTGCAGTGATATTGTTGCCATGACAACGGGAAAAGAACATGGCGTCAATGCTTATTAATTTTAAAAAAAGTTACATATGTTTTTCACTTTATTCACAAAATCTACAACCACTGCTGGAAAAATGAATGGTATGATCTTGTTAGGGGTTATCTATATGTCATATCTATACAATAAAATTTGCAGGCAACTTTAGCAGAAAAAAGTTACAAATGGTTAAAATGAGTGAAAATCTGGCATTTATAAGCTTTTTTGAAGGGTGGGGGTAATTTGAATACATATTCAGTGTCCATTATATTGGCCATATTGGTTCTGATCAAAGCATACTCATAACTTTACTATTGTTAATAAATAAATGCACATTCAATTTCAAAAGGAATTTTATATTCCTCACAAACGAAACTTGGAAAAGGGGGGGGGTTAGGAATCACCTTGTTCACCGATCCATATGTATGTAAAATTTTGACTTGTCCATAACATTTCAATGAAGTGCCACTGAAAGTTCATACTTGATATTAAGATTGCTTGCGATCGAGAGATGTGTCAAAAACTTGACTCAAGGTCATTTGAACAACTTCAAGGTCATTGGTAGAAGAAAAGTGCAACCTTTGCCCATTCTGTAACATTCTAATGAAAAGACTTGGTTTCATCTTGGGAATTATTTTTACGCTGTAGGTTTGTCATTACCTTGACCAAAATTCATTTGAACATGTTTGCCCTTGACTCAAGGACATAGCTTTTTCAAGGTCACTGCAGTAAAAGTGTACTATATGAGTTTGGCACATTCACATATTTAACTTCGAATGAAGGGATATTGGAAGTTTGTGCTCAACACATCGGTTTTACTACCTATGACTTGAGTATTTGTCATAGTCATTTTTGGTAAGTATATCTGCACAAGTAAAATTTTAAAAGGTTTCAAATTAGTATTTAGACCTTTTTTGTAATAAAAAACATTTAATGCAATATAGCAGGAGGGTTGGTATCATTTTATTAGCTTGCTCACAATAATTCTTGTTTATGAAAGAGAGTCACTATGACAGCTCACATAATTATAAAGTAAAACCATGTCAATCAGGCATGTAGCATCAGGTTTGGGTTGGGAAGGGGGATGACATCCCCCACCCAACTTTTTTCTCAATGTACCCTAATGTTTAACCACACACACCCCCTCCCGAGTTTGTCCAATTGTCCTTCCGTCTAGCTGTCTTTCTGTCTGTCTGGAACGCTTTCGTTTGCACACGATATCTCGAGAACCCTCTGAGCTTTTGCAATGAAATTTAGCATAGCAACAGTTACTCCCTATGGACTAAAGAAGAACCCTATTGATTTTGTGGTCAAAAAGTCAAAGGTCAAGGTCATAAATGAACAAATTCTGTCTGTTATAACACTTTCCTTTCCACACAGTATCTCTAGAACCATTTGAGCTATTGCAATGAAATTTTACGTAACAACTCCCCGTGACATTATGAAGACCCCTATTGATTTTGAGGTCAAAAGGTCAAAGTTAAAGGTCGTAAATTTATACATTCTCTCTGTGTGTAACACTATCATTTCCGGGCGATATTTCAAGAAGATTTTGAGCTTATGCAATGTATTTTATACCAAAACTTCCTAGGATCTCTCTCAAAGTGTCCAGCCTCGTTTGTTTTATTAGTATTTATAGTATTACATGTCGCTATTTTTAGCACAGGGGCATGAGGAGAGTTATTGCGTATAAAACAGGTTCTCGGCAGAATTTATATTCCTATCACATCTACCAGAACTGGTTAATAAAGGTTGAATTAGACACCATGTTTTGTGTAAATTTTTGACGATATCAAAAGTGAATATATACATGTATGTGACTTCATATTTGCATATAATTGTCGAAATTTTTTTTTTTTTTTTTTTTTTTTTTTTTTTGAGAAGTTTTATTTTAACTTTCACACAAATTACACAAATATGAAAGAGACGAATACATAAATACATATGCAAATAAAGCAAAAAACAGAAACAAAAAAATAATAATAGAAGCTAGTGTGAAAGTTTATGTGGAAAGAGAGGGGGGAGAAAGGGGGAAAGAAAGAAAGTGAGCGAGAGAGAAAGAGATGAGAGGGCACACACTTTATTGAACAGCTAGCGGAAAGAAAATTTTAAAGTTTTTCAAATATTTCCTGCCAGTGTCTTTCAAAATCATATTTACAATTTTTTAACAAAAGAAATTTTTCTACTCTAATTCTTTCAGTAATAACATTTTTCAAAGTCTCAATGTTTAATTTTATAGTTTTGGCATACTTACTAACAAAAATATATTGTTTTATGATCAGAATAAGTAGATTTTCTAACTTGTAGGAGTTTCTGTTTAAAAATTTACCAAATAAAATTGATTGTCTATCAAAACAAACAGACTTGTTTACTTTTTGCAAGATCCATTCTTCAATCTCTAACCATATTTCTTTTACAGCAGAACATTCAACAAAAAAGTGATCAATAGTTTCAATATCCTTCTCACAGAAGGAGCATAATGGTGAATCAATAAGTCTTAATTTAAAAAGATGGAAATTAGTAGGAATTATTCTATGTAAGATTTGGAATTGTAACCATTGAAGTTTTGATTCTTGGGTTGTTTTGAAAGGTAGCTCAAAAATTTTTTCCCAGTATTTTTCACTAAATTCTTCCCCATTTTCACTCCATTTTATAACTGAAGTTATATTGCCCTTTTTATTTCTAATAAGAACATTATACATATCGTTACACCCTTTTTTACTCTTTAAGAAAATTTCAAGGCTGGATGGAAGCATCGGTCTAGGCATTGGCTTTATTTCATAATTCTTAAAACATGATAGTCTCTTTCTAATTGCTGTTCTTAGTCCGGCATATTCAACATAGTTTGTATTTACCTTCAAGTTATAATGAATAAAATCAAAACTGTAAAAGTTTCCATTTAAATCTAAGAAATCATTGATAAAAACAAAGCCCGAATTGAAGTAACTTTTGATGAAAATTGACTGGCCACCAATGGTAACTCCTGGATTATGCCATATGTGTTCTTGGAGTGGACTTAAATCAGCTATAGCTTTAGCCTGATTTACTTTACACCAGCTAGAGAAAACATCTTTCCAAAACTTATTTTTCGTGGTACTACTCAGATTCTTAATAAAGTCAATTCCAAACAGCCAAAGATGATTTATACTTATTCCCAATTCTGCTTCAAGTAATTTAACCCATTTTGCACTTGAATACATAACTCGCCTTACCCAACTAGATTTCAATGAAGTAACAAAATTTTGATAGTCTATCATTTTCAAGCCCCCAAATTTATGCTCTTGAATAATTACATTTTTCTTAACTTTATGATTTTTATTATTCCATAAAAAATTATACAAGTCTTTTTCGAAAGCCCTCATGACATCATCATTAGGGTTTGGTAAAGTGAGGACAAGATGATTTAGTTTAGGAATTAATAATGTTTTTATTACAGTCAGTCTTCCAAGAGGAGTAAGTTTGCGAGCTTTCCATTGTAACATGTTTTTTTTAATTTCTTCAATTTTTAATTTGTAATTAATATCTACCATCTCATGTAAATCAACAGAAAACTTAACACCTAGTAAATCAAAGGATGTAGTACTGGGATCAAACTTCCATCTTGAGTGATGAAAAATATCTTTTGAGAATTTTTTACTTCCAATCCAGACTAATTTAGTTTTAGAAAAATTTATTTTTAGACCCGAGATTGATGCAAAATAATCTAACACTCTTGTAATTCCATCCAATGAGCTTGGAGAGCCATCAGAAATAACAGATGTATCATCTGCATATTGTGACAACTTGTATTCTTCACCATCAATAGTTATACCTTTAATATCCTTATTTTTTCTAATTAAAATACCTAGAATCTCTGCACAAAGTAAAAAAAGGTACGGTGAAATAGGATCACCTTGTCTACAACCCCTTTCAGGGTAAAAGTACTGAGACACTATCCCATTTTGAATAACACAGGACTTTATATTATTATAGAAACATTTTATCCAATTTCTAATTGACTGACCAAAATTGAAGAAACAAAGTGTTTGATTTATGAAGTTCCATGAAATGGTATCAAATGCTTTTTCAAAGTCGATAAACATTAAGAGACCAGGTATATTTCTTGACTCTGCTTGGTGCATAATATCATATATTAATCTAATATTTTCGCCAATAAATCTACCTTTAATAAATCCTGTTTGGTCCCCATGTATTAGCTTATCTAAGAATTTTTTAATTCTTTCCGCAATGCACCCTGAGGCTAATTTATATACAACATTTAAGAGGCTAATAGGTCGCCAGTTTTTTAAAAATTGTTTTGGCTTACCAGTTTTTGGAATACATGTTATTACCCCTAATTTGTTTGGTTCGGAAAAAGTTTGTTTTGAGTATGAGTCATTGATTGCTCTTGTAATAAATGTG